AGGGGCCTGCCCAACGCCATCTGCTCTCTTGACTGGAAGAAAATAATACTTAACTGAATATAAAGTCCTGATAAGGGAGAATACTGTAACTTATGAGATTAGGATAATGTACATAAGTTCAGGAATACGAACTTCTCTTTATGTCTCATTATCAAACTCATGTAGTTACGGGATCATGCCAAAATGAAAGAAAGGTTTAGCCTTAACATACCTTATCACAATCTTTCCAATCACCAAGTTGAACTCGCCTCTTCGCACCTTAATCTACAACAACGATAATAATACTATCATTAAATTATGAAAGATACAACTATCGCACAACGAACGATAAGCTTATTTTGTATTAAAATGGGCAGCATCTCCCCTATAATCCTTACTTCCTCCAAATTCAAGATAACACCAACAACACAAGAACACAATAATAACAACATATTTACATTATGTACAACCTTATATACACCACAAAATACTACAAAACAGCCCAACACACCCCAATCTCTTCATACACCAAACAACCACCGAAGTAGTGTCAAACAACCCGAAAATATTATGACGAATGACCAGCCCATCACCCTACATTTATGTGGTATTTCTTCACACCCTTTCTCCTCCAAAACTCCATAAAATAGTAGCAAAACACGCAATCCAACAGCAACACAAAACAGTCCACAAAACAGTCTGCAAGTGAATAACTCGAACTCACGGCTTCCGATTACCGTCCCATGAGTTCTTATAATTATAGAACGGCTTTCTATACATCTACAGCAGAAAAAATGAATGAAAAAGAGTAGTAAACTTACCTTGTTTGTTGAATAACTCAGCTCCTATATTGGTTCTTTAAACTCTAGGTTTTTCTCCAACTAGAACTTGAAAAGGTTGTGTGTGATTTTTGGGAGGATTTTTGTAGTGGTTTAGGTCTGGTTATTATGCCCTATTATCAGTGTAATATATGAAATAAATAGGCCTTTAAAAGGTCTCTTTGAATGACCCGAACTAGCTCATTTTTGGACATATAATCCTCTCATTTAAGCAAGTAGGTGACACACTTACTTGTTACCTAGCAGCCTACGCAGTCTCGCAAATACGTATATATCTATCTGCTCCGATGTTGTATTCACAAACGATTTAATGAGTTAAAAATAGACTCAAAGATATTCAATTTGATGGGTGGAACACCCCATAACTCTAAGTATATTAGGAGAAAATCACAGTTACATTTGATCCAAATTTCAGTAAAACTTATGAACGTAACTTGTGATGACTTTCATCGACTTTTATTCCTCAACTCGTCTGACTTCAAAAAACTAACACACGACTATCATACGACTAACATAACTCATAATATAACCTCCTTATCATGTTAAGAACCCTAGTATCACCCCAAGGGTACGAGTTATAACATTCTCAACTTGTCGACTTTCGACGAAATATTATTTTCTTCTATTTCTTAGCTTTTGAACTTTCCAACCCTCTTTGTACTTGTTGTTCATGATCCTCAATATTAGTAACCTCCGAGGTAACATGATAACTTACTTTATATACTTTCAAAGATGATCTCATTTTTTATCTTACATTAGTTTGCTTACGACACACCTTTACATACGAAAATGTGGGGTGTAATATTTTCTTTTTCGAATCTATTCAGCATTCTCAGACATAAAAATTCACACAAACAAAAGAAAAAAAATTCAAATTGGTTTTTCTTGAAGAGCTTGCACGCACTATAGAAGAGTGTGGTGGCCAGAGTGATAAAGGCAAATCTGGATGGAGCCCTCTTTATCCAGATGTCTTGGGTGCGCATCTTGGGAATGGAGCCCTCGATCTTCTGTAGGGAGCGTTAACCCCATGATCAGGTTTCTATAGTGCGAATCTGGATTAGTTAAGCATGTGGGTTATGAATTCTGGACACAAGATGCTTGAAAAAAGAAAAAGTTTGCAAGCCCCAATGACTTCATTTTCTATTTTTGTAGCTCATAGATTCTTTTTTATATTTCTTCTCCCTTTTTCTTAGCTATGTACTATAGTAAAAATTAGGTTTTTATTATTTGACATGCAGGAATTGATTCTTGATCAGCTAGCTATAGGAACATGATGAATTTCAATCGTCGGCTTCTTCTACTTGAGACATAACAGAAAAGTATGCCACCAACAAATAAAAATCAGATAGATGATGTACCTTAATGATTCAAATTTCAACACAAATATGATCATAATCCTTGTTGTTTTGCTCCGTGCATAATTAAGTGTACTTTACGTTGTAGTCATAGGTCGTTGGTCCATGAAACCGCAGAGGAGTCTCGAGTTGTTGCTGCTAAAGGCATTAAGAAGAAAACTCTGTGGCAGATTCCGGTGGTGGTTTATGGGCGAGTGAATGTCCAATTTGCTTAGGAGAATTTGTGGATGGTGAGAAAGTTTGGGTGTTACCAAAATGTTACCATGATTTTTATGTGACATGTATTGACAAATGGCTTTTGTCATATTCATTGCAGTCGATTTCTCCACTAGGTAATCGTGAAGTAGCAACTACGTCTCTATCCCAAGCAAATTGAGGTAGGATATATGAATTACCACTGTCCATGTTGCCCTGTTGAAAATTTGAAGTCGACTATATAAATTTTCACTATACAGTCGTAAAATATTTCCTCTTTGCTCCGTTAAAATTTGTCTTTTCATTTTATTTTCTCTTTGGACAAATAAAGATTAAAATGAGTAGCTATATCATATGATGATTGAAGGTTTGATGGTTCTTGCTGTTCTTTGAAGCTCAGAGCAATCTAATGTCTTAACATAGGGAATCTTCTATAAAACTTTTAACATATCATGAAGCTCTGGTTTCAATTTTCAACAAATTTCAATTCACTACTCAAATTGAACAAACGCGTTATGTATTATTCAGCCTTGGTATCAATATGAAAGAGCTTCAACAATCAAACTCGAAAAAACAATCATTAGTTCCTTAATAACCCCACAACCAATATATATGACTGTAGTTCCAATGAAAGGAGTAAAAGGTAGCCCGGTGCACTAAGCTCCCACTATGCACGGGGTCCCGGGAAGGGCCGGACCACAAGGGTCTATAGTACGTAGCCTTACCCTGTATTTCTGCAAGAGGCTGTTTCCACGGCTTGAACCCGTGATCTCCTTGTCACATGGCAGCAACTTTACCAACTACGCCAAGGCTCCCCTTCATTCCAATGAAAGGAGTAAAGAGGATAAAATTCATTTAATCCTAAGAAATAGGTATATTCGCAATAAACCTGCAAAATAATGAATACCACCTTTTGAATATCTTTTTTTCGGTTTAGTGATTCGGCATCCCAAGTCCATTAGTCCGGCATTTGGATTTGTGTCGGGTATTTGAAGGCATTGGCCATTCACCCAGCTATAGTCTATTATCAATATCTCTGATTAACACTGAAAGGCTAAATACATACACTATCTCTTAAACTTGTCCGAATCTTTTATTTAGACACTTGTATTAAGCCTATTCCAATTGAACACCTAAACTTGTTCATAATTGTGCCTATTGAACACATGATGCATACATGGTATAGAGAGTGTATCACACCTCTTATAGAGAGAGTGAAAACACTTAATTTATCATTTATAATTTTTTTTCTATCCATTTTCCCTTCTTATCTTATCTGTTGCCACCACTCTAAGGGATACTTCCCCTCTTTACTTTCCGACGAGATATTAGGGTTTTACTTTAGAAATAATTAATAGCCTTATTTTGAGAAGTGATTTTTCCAAAAGTATTTTTTGTGAGAATCGATTTGTGTTTGGCTAATTAATATGAAAAACACTTTTGAACAGTAATTATTGTTTGGCCAAACTGTTGAAAACTGCTTCTAAGTATATTTTTCTCAAAAGTGCTTCTCAAAAAAGTGCTTTTGGAGAGAAGCTATATTTTTCTGCTTCTCAAAAACTATTTCTGCATCTACTCAAAAATACTTTTTTTTTTCTTTTAAAAACTTAGCCAAACACCTCAATTTTTGGCCAAAAGCATTTTTGACTAAAAAAAAGTATTTTTGGCCCAAAAAAAAAGCTTGGCCAAACAGGGTATAAGCCTAGTTTTATGGCCACGAGAAATGAAAATCAAGCCACTTGAACGAGCTGAATAAGATATATTAGAGATGGAACATAATTTTTTTAACATAGCTCAAGAGAAATAAGTCAAATTGAAGGGAGCAATTAGGATATATTAGTGTAGTTTGTAACTGATCAAGTGAAGAACAAGTTAGAATCAAATCAATAGCATCACTATTAGTTGAATGTTTAAGAATCTGAAGTTACCATTGGCAGGTACAAGAAAAATCTGCAGAAAATGCATTTTATGAATTCCAAAATCTGCAGAGGTGGTTGAAGAATTGAAAATGGATTGGAGGACGGTAGCAGTTTATTCCCACTAACTTTCTTCTTCCTGACCTAGCAGATTGATTTTTCATTTCAAGAGAAAGAAGAAAGACAACAAAATGAGAAATAATTAATTGGAGAAGATGAACATTCGCCACAAGTCTTCTTTTCCGGTTAATATCTCTTTCTTTGTCTTTGTTTTCTTGAAATTTTGACTTGTCTATTCTTAGTTGACGTGTCTTTTTCTGATTGGTGTTACTTGATATGTCAATAGCAAGTAGCATGCACGCGCTTTGATTTGTGTAGAATTGTCAAATAATTGTTCAATAGGCACACTTGTGAGTAGGTTCAAGTGTTTGATTGGAACAAGCGCATATGTATTCACCCAGGTTGAAATGATTTCAATCATCTACAACGTCACTAAACCAAATGTGCATTTTAAATATTTTTATATGTAATTTTTCTAATTATAACTTAGCATAATTAATTTTGATGTAATTTTAAACTAGGAAGTTAACTAGCACACAAGTGAGGGCTATTGTTGAAATATAACTGCTCCGCAAGCCAAATGAAACAGGATATTAGCTGTAGTACATCTTTAGAATGGTTCCTTAAAATAATTAAATCATTACTACTCAAACGAAACAAAAGGAAAAAAAAAGAAATGGATTTAAAAGGCCCTAACGGCTAGTAAACCAAGTTGTGGCCTCTGGGAGAATGGAAGTAGGACGGCAATGCCATTCATGGAAACTCAATGTACAGGCCAAGGCCAAGAACTTGGATTTCAAATTGGTAGCCTCCAACTTTTTACCCAAGTGCAAGTTTTTCCCATTCTCTCTCAAGTTCAAGTACTGCAGATTCTTGATCCATCTTAAATCTGAAACACCCACCTCTCCAAATCCCCAGAAATCAAAATCCTTGAAATCGAAACTCCATCGATTTTTTGAAAGACTCCGTATTCGAAGACGTTCCAAGAACAATAGTAGAGCGATCAGTTCCAAACCAAAGAACAAGGTATGCGTTTCTATAATCCCATTAACATGGAAGATATGATGGCTTCTTGACTTGAACTACGTCTAGGGCTGGGCATATATCGGGGTATAACCAATAGCCCGAACCAAAAAAAGCTAATTGGGTTATCGGTATCGAGTTATTGAGTGTAATAGTTTTGTGTTATTTGATTATTGGGTTATCGGTTTGGGTCTCGGTTTGCCAATTTTTTTAATACTTTAACCGATAACCCAATAAGCTTTATCAAAATTATAATTATACTCTTAGGTATTTAAAGCCATCTTATGACTTCATTCTCTATTAGTATTATGTTTGGACTTCTTAATTTTCAAGATGTAATTGCTACTATTTTTTGTTGTTTCTACTGTGTTTGAACAAGCGGACTTGAGCAAATCTCTTAGTTCCCGATATGAAAGCAGCTTTTGTAATTATCGTCCTCTAATATTTTCAGTGTTAAGTATATTCTGCTAATTGATCTCCCAATAAATCCTCTCGAATAGCCCGGAGTACGCGTGCTACTTTTCGAGAATATGTTATTGCTCTTGCTACAATTGTTGGATAAGTGCATTTCATAGTATCAATATATTTAATATTTCGCTCTTAAATAATAGAACATTATTGTGTTTGATGAAAAAATTAATAATGAGTTCTTTAGTCATTGTCGTCATCCTCTTTTATTTCATAATCTCTTGATGTTTATTCGTGTGTGAATATATGAAGTACATTTGAGCAAAATTTATTGTTGTATGCAATTAAACAAACTTTTTGATGAGGGTAGACATGTGTCCATGAAACTTTTATTCACTATTTAGAACATAATTGAAAGAGTCAAAGTTATAAGATCAATTAGTATTATACGCTACGTTTTTCCCTCTAAATTAAGTTATCTTATCGGATAAACCGATAACTGAACTGATAACAATCGATAACTGATTAACTGATACCGATAACTGATATCTTATCGGTTCAATTATTAGTTTAGCATATGTATAAACCAATAATCGATATATCAAACCGATAATATTCACAACCCAACCGAACCAACAGATAAATTAAAAATAAAAAATTATTTCCCAAATGTATAAAGTAGTAGTGGTGTGTGGTGCAGTATTCTACACCTATCGTCATAGTAGCTGTTGGTATGAAACATTATAGGTATCGCAATCGATTCCCGCTTGAAACACTTTGGATCGAACAAGTTTGGTCAATTCCAAGAAAATTTTGAGTTGGAAACTTGTTCGAGGTATATATCCAATTAATTAATCCCATAAACCAGGGAAGTTAAAGCGGAAATGAAAAATTAGGGTCAAAGAAGCCACTAAATTGAGGTGTTCATCTACTCGTTCTAACCCTCGTTTTAGTAGACATAGAGTGAAATGTACAAGCCCCTTTAGAAAGAGGAGGGGGGCGAGTAAAATATGAAACGAGCCTTGGCAAAGCCTCATCTTGCATGTTTCTAATGAAACTTCTAACTCTAGATAATAGGAGTTTTTGTTTAAATAAAATATGAAACGAGAGACCTCATCGTTGCTCGTCCTCATCAACGACTAAGCGCGATTGACTTGGCATTGTATATCCTCCCTTGTTCAATTTTCTGTTCACCGCCTTATGTTCTATGCTGTCCTAAATATATAATTAACAAATTATGGTATATCTCTATCTTTTCTGATGCAGGCAACGATATCTCAGAGTTCAGTGGTTGTAGGAAACCTAGCCCTCTTCATTCAATCACTGTATCAACGGGACAAAGATGGAATCTTTAAACTTGGTTCTATTGTCTTTATTTGCTTTGCTTCCATATTTAAGAGTTTCATGGCAAGAAAAGCTTGGATATTGTTAGTTTTTTTAATTGGTGCCATAGTTTTTTGCTCAAATGTGATGCATCTCAGATTCAGTAGTAGCCTCTTTGATCATCACTGTCTGTCAAGATTCTTTTGGAGCTCTTTCAAAAATGCTGCCTCTTCTGGCTGTTTATATCTACTCTCTCAGGTGAAAACACAAACTCCTTTTCTATGTTACTCGGACTATGCAAAAATGTTGTTGCACCCGTGTTGAATCATCCAAAAAATTCACTACTTTTGGAGGATTCAACATGTCCGACGGCATTTTTGAAGAGTCCAAGCAACATAGATCCCTTCTCTTAACTTTGATTTTTGATGTCTTTGGTATGATAATGCGCATACGCAGTTGCTGACTTTGTGAAACAATTCTCAGGTGCTTACTGCTATATCTAGAATAATATGACTTTCGCAGTGTCCTATGGGGTGGAATTCAGAATCATTAAAGCGGAAACTGTTTATTCGTTGAATATTATCGTATAGTGTCAAACTTACATTTGAATTTGTATTGAACGTGGTCCATTTGGCAGTTCTGTTAGAATTTTCAAAGTCAAATTAAATTGTCCTCTTTGTCATACTTCAGTCCTTTGAAAAGTTTTATTTCTAACTTCCAATTTGTTTCTAAGTTTTAATTCATACTATATATATATATATATAAAATCTATGTTGATCGAACTCTTCAAAAGTGACGGGTGCATGTCGGATCCTCCTAAAGTGCAGGATCCGACATGAATACACTAGCATAATTGAATAGAGAATGTTTTTCCTTGAAGTACGAGTGACTTATGAGACTTGACTTTACATTTAGCTAGCGTTTGGCCATAGATTCCCAAATTTATTATGAAAAATCTGATTTGGGTGAAGTTTGATTTGAAGATGAAAATGTGTTTGGACATCTGTTTTGGGTGAAGTTTGGTTTGGAAAAACACGAAACATGACTTATACCCACAAGTTCTAAAAACTATCATAAATACCCAACAGTACCATTATCAATAACATTCATTATATTATCGCAAATCATAGTCCAGAACATAAATAAATTTGATACAAAATTATCATTTGATACACTATCAGATGACCGACAAGATGAAGCAACATCGTTACAAAATAATAAATGGTGGACTCTTTTATAAAATACAAAAATTTGGGGCAATTTTTAAAAAATATAATAGTGATATTTTTGTTTTAGCCAAAATATAGGCAAAATCTATGGCCAAACGGTCCTTAACATACGCACTCACACCTCAAATCACTTACGTGTAGACCATAGAGTTTGAATCTGACCAGAAATCTATTCTTGGTGAAGGGATAGTGTCGACCACTACAAGCAATTATAACAATTGGAACTCTACACTTGAGTGATAAGGCGGAATTTAATATTTGGAAAAGAACTTGTAATTTTAACAAAATGATCATAATTTCGAGTTTTGGTGCAAAAATGGCATTCACCATTGGTAATATATTCACCTAAGCATATGGTGCAAAAAGCGCATAATTAAGCGTGCGAATGCAAAGAGCTCTCCAAGATTCAGTACTCTCACTGCTTTTTGTCCACTGTCACAACGGACTTTTATAAGTCCCTTTAGTTTTAAAACTTATAGCTCCAACTAGTCATCATAATTACATGTTCTTTCCTAAACTTTAAAAGAACTTTGTATAAAAAGTTTGCTCTAAAAGACTACGCAAAAGGGGTATTGCGGGGGGTTGAGGTCAGATATGGATTCAATTGTCAAAGTAAAAAGGAGACGTGTCACTTAAAGATTTAAAGAAAGGAGCAATTTTGGCCACTATACAGTGAGGTACTTTTCCTAATTAGATTTGCTTTTTACAAAAATCCATGTGCAATCCCTTAGAGCCACAAATAGAGCTGCAAGCCTGCAACAAGGTTTGGCGTCCGTGTTTACCCGTAAAATGATACAGTTAAAATTATACGAGGTTTATAAACAAATGAATTAATTTGATCCCAAAATGATAAATAAATTAGATGAAAATGTAAGACTTGCCTTGAAGTTGAGATAAAACAACAAAAATCTTGATTCCGGAGTATAGTATATGTTTGTCAGAAAATTCCGGGGATAGTAATAACAAAATAAATAAGCAAGAAGGTAAAATTATATTAAGTTTTGAACAGAGTATAGTATATGTTTGTCAGAAAATTCATTTTCCTTACAATGATGATAGAGCTCACTATTTATAGTAGCACCTAGGGAACAAGGTCCTAGGATCAAGCCCCTCTTAAATGATAATTATGAGGGCCATTGAAAAATGTGTAACGATAGGCACTGAATGTCATATTCTCTATAATGGACCGTGCACTTAATGGCATAGAATATTCTTCATTGAATGCTATCGGGTGGCAGTCATTTATTTTGCCTTTATGAATATCAGTTTGCCCGGTAAAAAACGAGATCGTCGCCTTCGGTCCTGACCGTCTTCTGTCCTCGGCTCCACGTGTCACTTTCTCACATGATCATTTAATATGAACATATTTTACCCTATACAGATAGTCCCCATATTTTCTGGTGGCATAACTTTTTGTCACCGGAAAGTTGGTAGAGATACTTTTTTTTGGCGGAAAATTCTCGGACCCCCTCTGAAAAGTTTCTAACGGTTGATTAGACGCACGTCTCTCCGCATTTAATGCCCCAGACGTATCATCTCACGATTTATCACCACTTTTGCCGGTTATCGAGGTAATTATGGCCACAATTTTAGCCGCATATTCCTTTACTTATACGCATCAAACTTCTTCATTTACACTTCATAACTTTCTAAGCTTTCTCAAACTACTCAACTCGAACTTGTCTTAAACTTTCTCTAATCTCCTTCTTCAGAAAAAAAAACCCTTTTCTCTCTTCTGATAACAATGGCTTCTTATTCTAGAAACCCTAGTTCCTCAAAGAACAAAGGTAAAGCTAGTGATGTTGCTCCTCCTATGATGAACACCATTATCCCAAGAAGTCTTTCACAACTAAAGACTTCAAAGAGAAGTATCCTTTCGCTAACCCTTGCACATGGGTTGTTGGCATGTATTCTTCTTCCATCCGTCCTTCCAGCATTCCTGTTGTGAAGGAAGATTGACATTGCCATGATTTAAATATCATTGCTCCTGACCTAGCAGAGCGGATAGCCTTACCCAAGAAGGGTTTCACGTATTTTTATACGTATCCTTTCACTTTGGGGCCCTTTTTTTAGTGGGGAGCTTGACCCCGTTATCGTGGAGTTCTGCATCCGTTACCAGGTATGCTTAGCATAAGTAAGTCCTTCTGTGTGAAGGACAGTTGCTTGTCTTCGGCGGCTATGCCAGGAGATGGGAGAGGACCTAACCCTGGCTCGATTAATGAACCTTTATTCCCCCAAGATTTTCCGCGGGAGAATGATAAATTTTAGCAAACGTGGCCACCATGCTCTACTAACTAGTATGGATAATGACAACGACCGTGGGTGGATGGAACAGTTCGTTGCATTTGCCATCAGGGACATCATTCTGGCCACGACTCCATCCTTTCTGGAATTGTGGAACTGTAATTGTAAATTCATTGTTTGCCTTTTCTTCTAGTTAGAGATCACCCCATTTTGTTACTGATCCCTCTTCTTTCATTTATTTCAGCAACTCGGTGGACTCCACCAAGGGTCGAAGGCTTGGACTAGTGGGTCCAAAAGATTTTGGATGTTACTACGTCCGAGACCCGTACGTGGAAAGAACTAGCCCTTAAATATAGGTGGAAGGCCAAAAATCATGGTGGGTTGAACTCATCTTGTTTTTTCCTTTCATATAAGAAAGCTGATTAACCCTTTTCTCTTGTTGAAATCAGGTCTACCCCAAAGCTCAGTTGTCGTCCCCGAGGAGGACATTTTGGCTGATCCTTCAGATGCGACGAGGCTGTTGCAGGAGGCCTTTGCTCGAACGGGTGTAGTCGACACTGCATCCGGTGCAAGTGCTTCTTTTCGGAGTCCCCGGCTGGAGAACAAGCAAACAAAAAAGAGACATTCCTCCGCGACTGGGGGGAAGAATTAAAAGGCCAAGAGTGCCGCACCTGAGCCGTCTTCAGAGGCTGTGGTGATGAGTGTCGCGCCCGAGCCGGCCATAGACACCATGGTAATTGACGATGATGGAAGAGCCAGTGATGAGGGGGATCTCTAAATAGAAGACGACAACCTTCATCTGCTCAATAGAATGCTCAATCTATTGAGCTAGTTACGCTAACCGAGGACGATGCCTCGACACTCTAGGGGAGTATAATGTCATGGAATATGCCAATTCTAGCTTTCGAGTCCCAGTCGCATCTCCCGGTACCATGAGGTTGGGTACCGGGTCTCTCCCGTCCTCGGTTGATGAGCAACCAACAACTAGCACTGTGATTGTCGTAGCTTCTTCTCAACCTACAACGCCATCAGTTTCATTCCTTCTTCACCAACTCTGCCTTCGCCACCAGCAACTGCAATATCATCTCCACCGGCTGCAGTTGCGCGAGGGGAGGGTGACCCTCTTCCCTAGTCCCCAGTTCCTGGGAGTTTGGGGCAAAATTATGTTGTCCCCTCCAAAGATCCCCAAAGGACGAGGAGCGTCACCCTCTCGGTGTTTACCGGATGCCATCTGTTATCCCAGCCGATGGAACATGCTAACTATCTGAAGCCTTTGGCTTCAGAAAAAGATAGGGATAAAATAAAAACTCTCTCGGGAGAGTGTTTGTTGAACAATGCCATGCACAACGCGGCGGCGGTATAGTCTTTGCTTCCTCTGTTGTTTCTTCTATTTTATTTATGGCAGGGTTTTGAATTTGTATTTTTGTTTTGCAGGCCAACTTCCTTGCTTCCGAGGGCATTCAAAGGCTGATTCGTGATAAGGAGGAACTTGCCTCCGAGCAGGATCAACTTTTGGCCAAGCGAGACCAGACTGCTGCTCGCCTTGTAGAACTGGAAGCACGAGCTGCTGAGGCTATTAAGTTGGAGGCTCGGTTGTAGCAAAGCGATCAAGAAGTAGTGACCCTCAGACAGGAAGTCTCCCCGTTAAGGGCACAATTTGAAGAAGCTAGGGCCAAATGGGTTGATGTCCATAATGTTGTTCTTGCTGCATCCGATCGTGAGGCTGCCTCTGCTGAAAGATTGAGTAATTTGGAGATAGCCTTAAACTCCAAAGCTGAAGAAGTTACTACTGCCGAGGAGAAGTATGCCTAGTTGGAGGAGAAACATAAGAGGACCATAGAGCACAATAGAATTTTCAGTTCCACTATCCATGAACTTGATGTTAGCCTCTGTGCCACTAGATCCGCATGGGATAACCTTTCTGTCGAGGTTGACCAACTTAAAGAAGAACTTCAATGCCGAGCGGCTTCCCTCATTGTTGAAAAAACATATTCTATGTATAGCATGAGGAGAAAAACCTTAGAAGAGGCCAAAGCGAGTATCATTAACTTTGATGCTGAAATCGCTAAGGCCCGCGAGCTTGAGTCAACTGCCCGAAGGGGTATCCCGGTCCGGCCTGATGCTACCAACTCTTCTGGTTCTGGTTCTGGTTCCAAATTCTCGGTAACTAAAGAAGAATCGGATGGTGATGATGCTGAAGGACAAAATA